CACGCAAAGGAGGTGGCGCGTCAGCTTTCTGCATCTTTCCCGTATTTCAGATTCAAATTTGAAATATGGTGGTCATGCTTCTATAAAACCTGCTTTAGACCTGCTTTAGACCTGCTTTAGTCCTGCTTTAGTCCTGCTTTAGACCTGCTTTAGTCCTGCTTTAGACCTGCTTTAGACCTGCTTTAGTCCTGCTTTAGACCATCTTTAGACCTGCTTTAGACCTGCTTTAGTCCTGCTTTAGACCTGCTTTAGACCTGCTTTAGTCCTGCTTTAGACCTGCTTTAGACCTGCTTTAGTCCTGCTTTAGTCCTGCTTTAGACCTGCTTTAGTCCTGCTTTAGACCTGCTTTAGACCTGCTTTAGTCCTGCTTTAGACCATCTTTAGACCTGCTTTAGACCTGCTTTAGTCCTGCTTTAGACCTACTTTAGTCCTGCTTTAGACATGCTTTAGTCCTGCTTTAGACCTACTTTAGTCCTGCTTTAGACATGCTTTAGACCTGCTTTAGTCCTGCTTTAGACCTGCTTTAGATCTGCTTTAGTCCTGCTTTAGACCATCTTTAGACCTGCTTTAGACCTGCTTTAGTCCTGCTTTAGACCTACTTTAGTCCTGCTTTAGACCTACTTTAGTCCTGCTTTAGACATGCTTTAGTCCTGCTTTAGACCTACTTTAGTCCTGCTTTAGACATGCTTTAGACCTGCTTTAGACCTGCTTTAGACCTGCTTTAGTCCTGCTTTAGACCTACATTAGTCCTGCTTTAGACCTGCTTTAGACCTGCTTTAGTCCTGCTTTAGTCCTGCTTTAGACCTGCTTTAGTCCTGCTTTAGTCCTGCTTTAGACCTGCTTTAGACCTGCTTTAATCCTGCTTTAGACCTGCTTTAGACCTGCTTTAGACCTGCTTTAGTCCTGCTTTAGACCTGCTTTAGACCTGCTTTAGTCCTGCTTTAGACCTGCTTTAGACCTCTAGCTCTCAGCCCAGGGAGCCAGATAGTGACTCCCAGGGCTCGTCCTCACACGGAAGGACAGTGAAGGTGTCAGTTTATTGTTCGAACTCACAGGTCTCTGGAACTGGAAAAACAAATGTCTTACGCAAATTAGATAATTTTGTTTAAATGTAAATGAAAAAAATGTAAATGTAAAAAATGTAAATGAAAAGAAGAAGCAATTGTTCTAGAATCATTTCAAATCATAATCTACTGAGGTGAGCGATGTTTAGATCTGCTTTAGTCCTGTCTTAGTCCGGCTTTAGTCCTGGTTTAGACCTACTTCAGTCCTGGTTCAGTTCTGGTTTAGTCCTGGTTTTGTTTTGGTTTAGACTCAGTTTAGTCCTAGTTCAGTCTTGGTTTTGTCCTGCTTTAATCCGGGTTCAGTCCTGGTTCAGCCCTGGCCTGGTCCTGGTTCAGCCCTGGTCTGGTCCTGGTTCAGCCCCGGTCTGGTCCTGGTTCAGCCCTGGTCTGGTCCTGGTTCAGCCCTGGTCTGGTCCTGGTTCAGCCCCGGTCTGATCCTGGTTCAGGCCTGGTCTGGTCCTGGTTCAGCCCCGGTCTGATCCTGGTTCAGCCCTGGTCTGGTCCTGGTTCAGCCCCGGTCTGGCCCTGGTTCAGTCCTGGTCTGGTCCTGGTTCAGTCCTGGTTCAGCCCTGGTTCAGCCCTGGTCTGGTCCTGGTTCAACCCTGGTCTGGTCCTGGTTCAGTCACGGTCTAGTCCTGGTTCAGTCCTGGTTTAGCCCTGGTTCAGCCCCGGTCTGGTCCTGGTTCAGCCCTGGTCTGGTCCTGGTTCAGCCCTCACTCTTCTCTTGTTTCAGGACCATGGAGCAGACGTTGCTGGTGTCTTTGCTGCTGAGTGAGTTTCCTTTGTCTCTTATTTTCATTTATTCTGTTGATTTGGACACAACAGACACTTTGGACAGAGCAGGTGCACTGCCTTTAGTTTTAGAGCCAGACCATGCTAATGTTCAACACTTGTCCAAAGAAAGCTTTTAGGACACAAATTCACACATTCAAAATGTACAAACATAAAAGTAATTCAACATACAGTTCATTAACCATGTGAACAACGTTGTTCCGATTTCAGCCACACTTTCAGACGAAGATGTTTAAGTCTGTTTGTAGTTTTAGGTCAGTGGGAGGAGCGTTCCACAGTTTGGCTCCATTGAAGGAAAAGCTGGACTGTCCCAACGATGTTCTGGACTTAGGAACCAGACAGTCCCCACTGACCGAGGCTCTGGTGTTAGGCCTTCGAGAGCCTCGACATCTGACCACCAGACTAGGAATTCTCAGGAAAAGCTCATTAAGAGGATTCAGTGCGCCCCTAGTGGTCACTTGTGGGACATGCACCCTCTGTGTAATGTAGTATTTTGCTCGTACTGATGTAAAGAATTGACTGTGCGACTTTGGTGGGGATCGGAAAAGTTTAGGTCTGGAGCCTCCCATAGGTGGCGCTCTAGAGTCATATTAGCTGTGTATTTTCACACCATTACACTTATTGTTAGTGATGTGAGTTTCCGTAGGTCTGAGCCTGTGGCCTATTCAATCTGGAGCACTGGAACACACAAAACATGGTGTTATTAGAATTGTATGATGTCGGCAGTAATGACACTATATAAATTACACATATGACTCTGAGGACTATATTTTCAAGATTACATTTATTGTTGCTGTACAGAATAGTTAGGATTTGGCCTTGGACCCCGACAGAGGACTGTGAGGAGGCAGAAGGGGAAAAAGATTATGAGATGAAACCCCCCGGGGCCTAGACCTTGGTGGTGGGAGCTATAGGAGAAGGGAGAAAGAGCTAGAATGAGACGGAGATGGGGAGGAGGACGGTTGCAGCATGAATGAGTTTCTGCAGTGCCTGATGCAGCCAGGAGAGGGCAGTGTGGTGCTGTGATTGACAGATTGTTGTTGCTGTGGAGAGATGACATGGTAGAAGTCTCAATGATGAAAAACCTGGGCCTAGATAGAATTCACAAACACAGCACCTTGAACTGCCTGTAGGTGGTGCTGTTGCACTCACAGTTTTGTGTTGCATATCGCTGTGTTCAGGGTCATACGCTGTATTCGTGAATTCATTTCGGACAAACATTGTGCTAAAAAAACTCATTCAGCTCAGGGCTCCCCCAGTGACTCGGTTTAGAAATTACACTCAGCGATTTTTGGGCCGATCCGAGCACTAGTGCCCTATTACTTTTTGACAGGTGGCGCTATAGAGCTCATATTGGGCGTATGATTTTAGTGTCATTGCGTAATATTAGTGATGTCTCAGCTCTGTAGGTCTGAGTCTGTGGACATCAGGGCTCAGCCAAAACACACAAAACAAGGGATTATATAACTTCAATATGTCCAGATTGTAAAATGACGTGGTAGAAGTCTGTGTGAGGAAAAATCAAGGACTAGTTTGAATCCAAACATGAAAAGCCACATTTTCTAAAAAACTTCAGAGCATCATGGCCGACTTCCTGTTGGTCCCAGAGCGAGGCTCAGAGAGATCTATCACGTCTGGATTTCATGTACCTTCTCCAAAATATGCGTCTGACTCTCATAGACATTGCAAATTTAAAATTTCCAGGGGGCGATATAGAGGCATTCTTTGGACAATCTTGAAACGTTCATTTGAGTAAGTTTATTTGTATAGCACAGTTCATAAACACAACTCAAAGTGAACAAAAACGATAGAAACAATCACAAAACTCTTTAAAATCATAAATAATCATAGTGCATTTTTAAGACGGAAGAGAAAGTCCTTCAGTTGTTGCAGAAACAGTCCCAGCAGGAGGCTGGTCCCTGTACTCCTCAGAGTCCCAGCAGTAGGACAGTCCCTGTGCTCCTCAGAGTCCCAGCAGTAGGACAGTCCCTGTGCTCCTCAGAGTCCCAGCAGTAGGACAGTCCCTGTGCTCCTCAGAGTCCCAGTAGGAGGCCAGTCCCTGTGCTCACATTTGGCATAGATAGAATCACAGCTCAAAACAGAGAACCTGACAGAGAACCTGACAGAGAACCTACAGGATGTTAGTGTCCCTTGTGCTGCAGCTGTTTCAGTCTAACCTACTGGAGACAAAAGCAGGATAAGAATCTGTAATTATTAATGAGTTTGTTTAGTTTAGTTTTGTCTTTTGTTTGAAAGGGACAGTGCAACATTAGGCTCAAAGACAGACATGTTCTGCTCACTTCCATAAGCAGCGTTTCCACCACAGGAACTTCGGGGTAATTTTCCAGGGCCAGCCCAGTCGGTGAGTGTCTCCGCTGCAGGAACTTTCCCCACAGGGCCATTTACAGGAACTTTTACGGGAACCAACGGAGTCCCTCCTCCATGCTAGGTACTCTGTTGGGCCCTGGTGGTACTTGAGGCTAACCCTGCGCTGATTAGCTAAAGCTAGCGCAGGCTCAGGCCGCTCAGACGCCAGCAGAAAGCAGCAAAACAACCGGCATTAGCCCAGCAGCATTAGCCTAGCATTATTAGCTTAGCAGCATTAGCCTAGCAGCATTAGCCTAGCAGACACCTGGAAACCGCGAGCAACAGCACGGCATTGATTGAGACAGGGTTTGAGGCATCGCAGCGAAATGAAAAGATATATTAAGACTTCACCTTAAAGCACTGAGGATTCATCACACTCCAAAACAAGCCATGAAAAGTTTTAAAAAACTGAAACAGGACTATAAAAAAAACTCAAACACCAAAACAACCAGAGCGGTTACGACCGTAAAATAAACAAATAGGTTTGGCCCATGGATCTACAATAATAACGGGTTTGGCGTAATGAGTTTTGCTTATGCGGCAATCGAAACTCATGACGTGGCTGAGTGGTCCTACTGCAGCGGAGACACGGCCACTGAGAGGACCGAGGGAGAGGAAGGTTCCTGTAAAAGGTCCACCTTGCTCCTTTTACCATAAACTCCTGCGGTGGAAACGCGGATAGCTATTATATAGCTATAGCTATTGTGTGTGTGCGTGGCAGGTCAGTTGTGTTGCTGTGTGTCTCTGGAGCTTGTGTATCACCCCGTCCTGGAGCCCATGTCCTGGTTGGATGCTCAGAGCCACTGCAGACTGTACTACACAGACCTGGCCACTGTGAGGGACATGAAGGACCTGCTGAGACTGAGGACCGCTGCCAATGGACTCACAGACCTCTGGACCGGACTCCATCTGACCAGTGAGCACCCCAATGTGTGGCACTGGTCTCAGGCGGCACTCCAGTACGACGAGGGAGAATCTCAGTGGGCGGTCGACCAACCCGACAATGATGGAAACTGTGTGGACTCTTGGGTTCAAGACACCTGGAACGATGAACACTGTGATATTGTTCTCAACTGTTCCATCTGCTACGATGGTGAGACTCATCTTTCTGTCTACAGCTGAGAACCATGTGAGAGAGTGGCTGACTACAGGAAGAACTCACTTTATATTTCCGTGCAATAGGCTGAATAGTGTCACTGTTCCATACAGAACCACTCGTGTCACTGTAACTGTGTCCCAGAGCCTCATGCTGCTAACAGGATGTAAATATACAATTATATATTTCTGCTCTAGAATATACAGGATTTTATAAGTGTACAGTTTGGGCCAAATCCCTCCAGTATCCGATGAAGTGTATCGAGCTGGCCCAGTCTTCCGCGGCCGGGACTAAAACCACACTGCTCCTGAACACGAGATTCGACTGAGATTCGAATCTGAGATTCGGTCGAAAGTCTCCTCTCCAGTACCTTGGAGTAGCCCTTACCGGGAGGCTGCAGAGACGTTTCAGAGACAGTCCTACAACATCCAGAGACTTTAGAGTCAGTACGGATCTCATCCACTCCCGGAGCCTTGCCACCAAGGAGGCTGCCAACCACCTTGGTGACTTCAGGGAGATGGAAGCATCCGCCTCAACATCCTCAGCCTCTGCCTCAGGAACAGGAGGAGTGATTGGGGAGAACCTCAAAGTATTCCCTCCACCGCCCGACAATATACCCAGTCGAGGTCAGCAGTTCTCCCTCCGCACTGTACACAGTGTTGGCAAAGAACTGCATCCTCCTCCTGAGGCGCCTTCTGTGAAGGGTGAAGGGGTGAAGGGTGGGGGACGCCCATGTGGCGTCCCCCACATGGGCCCCAGGAGAATAACTGAGTCCCCACTCTGTGGGTGCACTGTCCAGTACCCCTACCAGGGACTCCAAGAAGGACGGGTACTCTGCACTGTTGTTTGGCCCGTAGGCACAACAACAGTGAGAGACTTGCTCCCCACTCCGGAGGCGGAGTGAACCTTCTCATTCACTGGGGGGAACTCCAACACATGGAGATGGGGGCAATGAGTATGGCAACCCCCGCACGCCGCCTCTCCCCGTGAGAAACACCAGAAAAGTGGAGCTTCCAACCCCTCGCAAGGAGTTGGGTTCAGAGCCCAAGCTGTGTGTGGAGGTGAGGCCGACTATCTCTAGTCCGTATCTCTCAACCTCCCCCACGACCTCAGGCGCCTTCCTCCAGTGACGTGAAGTTCCACGTCCCAACAGCCAGAGGCTGTGGGGGGCGACTTCTATGCCTTCGACTCCCACCCTGTAGACTAGACCAGGGGCATAAAGCTTCAGGGAATATAGCTCCCAGGATCACCCGAGTCCTTTAACTCCCCCAACACGGTGAGATGGCAGTCCATGAGGAAGAACTCTTGCTTCCTCCACTGTCAAACCTCACACTCACCACTCTCTTCACATCATTCCATCCAGACCTTGGCCTACCTCTCGGTCTACTACCACTCAATTATTCATCACTCTCTTCGTCACTCTCTCTTCATCCGTTCTCTGCATATCAAAGAGCAGGGCCCATATCGTTCTGGTTCAGCCTTTATTTTCCTCTGAAAAGTATGTCTTCTGTGAATGTGTCCGACAGAGGCCTCCAGCAGTCCTGTGATGGTCTCTCAGTCTAGGGACTGGTTGGCGGCTCAGCAGTACTGCAGGAGCCACTACACAGACCTGGTGAGCGGACTAGACCAGTATGCACAGTTCCTGCAGACCTTCCCTGTGCGTAACGCTAGTTGTTGGATTGGTTTGTCCCGGGACCACTGGGGCTGGTCCGATGGAAGCAACTCGGACTGAAGAAGAGCTTCGTCTGCCACGGAGGTAGAAGAGTTTATAGTTTGTTTTATTCTACTGGATTTAAACACTCTGAGCTTTTACCATGTTACAAACAGAGCGAGAGGGGCATAAGGAAGCGGCTGGTCTCTTTCTGGTCTCTTTCTGCTCGCTCACTTGCTCTCTCTCCCTGGTCCCTCTCTGGACTCTCTCTGGTCCCTCTCTGGTCTCTCTCTGGTCCCTCTCTGGTCTTTTTACACACTCTCTCTCTTGTCTCTCACTCTCTCTGGTCTCTCTCTTGTCTCTTTCTGGTCTCTCCCTGGTCTCTCCCTCTAGTCTCTTTCTGGTCTCTCTGTCCTTTGAGATGTCTAGAAGTGGTGAAAAATATCAAGTAGAAAGTGAAATATGAAATCTGCTTCTCTACCACAGACTGAAACACAACACACCATGAGCAGAACTATGAGCAGAACCATGAGCAGAACAAGCTGAAATATTTGTGTTTCTATTTTTCAGATCTGAAAATTAAAAAGACTGTGGTGAAACTCAAAATGTCGGCAGCTGTGGATCTGAACTCACTCAGTGCCCAAATACTGCACCAGGTGTGTATCCTTCTGGGTTTTTAAGATCAACATTTTCTTTAGAAAAGATCCAACACATAGTAGCAAAGGCCAGAGACCATGAGAGACCAGAGAGACCATGAGAGACCAGAGAGATCGAGGAGCCGGAGACTAGTGAGACCAAAGGACCAAAGTCCAGAGACCAGAGGCTAGAGACTACAGACTAGAGACCAGGAACTAGAGACAACATACATTAGACTGACAGTTTAATTGGGATCACATAATAGAAGAGAGGAAAGAGAAGAGTGGAGAGAGAAAGAAGAGAGAGAGAGGAGAGAAGAGAGAGAGAGAGAAGAGAGATGAAAGGACAGAGAGGTGAGAAGGGAGAGAGAGAAGAGAGAGAGGAGAGAGATGAAAGGAGAGGAGAGAGTTTGTTCCCACATGAACTCAGGCCTTTCTGTTTCTCCTGGAGTCTGGCTGGGTTTCCTCCAGGTGCTCCGGTTTCCCCCCTCCTGACAGATGACATATTAAAGTTGTATTATTTTCTACAGCTGCAAGAACGGTTGAATGCAAACCATCTGGGCCAATTAAAACTGAGCTAGAAGAAAGACAAGAATCAGTGTGTTTTCAAAAAGCAGAAGTCTTCTACCATGAAGGGACCAGGACCATGTGACGCTGCCTAACCATCCATGCTTTACTGCCGTCTACTGTCTGCTTTGTATTTAATTGTATAGCGCTTTTGATTGAGAGAGAGAGAGAGAGGAGAAGGAGAGAGAGAGTAAGAGAGAGAGAGAGCTGAGAGAGAGAGCTGAGAGAGAAGAGAGGAGAGGAATGAGAGAGGGAGAGAGGAGAAAGAGAGAGAGAGGGAAAACAGAGCGAGAGAGCAGAGAGAGCTGAGAGAGAGGGGGGAACTGAGAGAGCAGAAGGAGAGAGGAGAGGAATGAGAGAGGGAGAGAGGAGAAAGAGAGAGAGGAGAGAGAGAGAGGAGAGACGGAGAGGAGCAAGAGATAGAGAAGAGAGAGAGGAGAGAGAGATAGAGAGGAGTACATTGTGTTGTGTTGTTATTCGTTTTTTCATTTCTGCCTCAAGAGACAGACAGCATTACTTTGGGTTTTTTGGCCTTTTTCCTTTCTCTGTAAACTTGTTTCACGTTACTCACTTCACAAACAATGTCCAAACATACTTAGAGATACTTAGAGATAGTAAGTACTAATACATAAAAAAAAAAAATGTAACTTGAGAAAATAAATGATCGTTTCACATTTGCTTAAAGCAAACTGAGTCAGGCCCTTTTTGATTTGGAGCTTTAATGCAGATGACTGAAATATGGTGTCTGCATGACTGTGTCTGCATGACTGTATCTGCATGACTGTGTCTGCATGACTGTATCTGCATGACTGTGTCTGCATGACTGTGTCTGCATGACTGTGTCTGCATGACTGTGTCTGCATGACTGTATCTGCATGACTGTATCTGCATGACTGTGTCTGCATTACTGTGTCTGCATTACTGTGTCTGCATTACAGTGTCTACATTACTGTGTCTGCATTACTGTGTCTACATTACTGTGTCTACATTACTGTGTCTACATTACTGTGTCTGAATTACTGTGTCTGCATGACTGTGTCTACATTACTGTGTCTGCATTACTGTGTCTGCATTACTGTGTCTGCATTAAGGTGTCTACATTACTGTGTCTGCATTACTGTGTCTGCATTACTGTGTCTGCATTACTGTGTCTACATTACTGTGTCTACATTACTGTGTCTGCATTACTGTGTCTGCATGACTGTGTCTGCATTAAGGTGTCTACATTACTGTGTCTACATTACTGTGTCTACATTACTGTGTCTGCATTACTGTGTCTGCATGACTGTGTCTGCACGACTGTGTCTGCATGACTGTGTCTGCACGACTGTGTCTGCATTACTGTGTCTACATTACTGTGTCTGCATGACTGTGTCTGCACGACTGTATCTGCATTAAGGTGTCTGCATGACTGTATCTGCATTAAGGTGTCTGCATGACTGTGTCTCCATTAAGGGTTCTGCATTAATGTGTCTGCATTACTGTTGCCCTGGCATTACTCGTTGGGAAAGCAATAGGCCCTTACCCCAGTTGGGGTTGGGGCCTAAATATTTGTTGTGGTTGAATCCAAACCCACAAGAAAATAGTATCCAAATTCATGTGAAATAAAAGGTCAAAATACAAAAAATATGTAAAAGATAATGATACTAATAATAATAAAAAGTTAATCACTTTTATACTTTTGGTCCCAAACAGCTCCTTTGTTTTAAATCTTGGCCCCTGACCGGAATGAGTTTGACACCCCTGTTCTAGCTCAATAAAGCTTAACAAAGAAGTGCTCATGGACAAAGTTTATTGTTCCAACTCGCTCTGGCTCCTACTGACTTACATTGAAAAGTAACCGTTCTGGAACCGTTTGTCTCACACTCACCATTTTAAGCTTAAAAAAGATCTAGACCCAACTGAAAATATTAAATGTCATTTTCATGTGTCACAAATATGACATTATAAATATTACATTGTTCTCTCTTAAGACAAAAGAGATTTAATATAGATTTCAACAGTTAAAATGTGTTTGTGGCTTTTTACTTTTACTACACAAAGACATACCTTAATATCTTGATTTCAGGACATTTACTTACATTTATTTACATTGATCATCCAGGACAAATGTCTTCTATGTGTTTCGACAGCTTTGTAAAGTCCTGCCGTTGTGTTTTTGAGCTACACAAAAACACATTGAATTGAAAGATAATTATATTTCCCTTCCCCTCTGCTGACGCCCCGGTCTGAGGACACACAAGTCAAAACTCCTCGACCATTACCCCTCCTTTCTGCACGTGGGTCTTTTTCTGAAAATTGCAATCGTGCGACCTGCCAGCCAGCCACGCCGGCCCTTTCAGTGAAATAAATAAGGCACAAATAAATAGATGGCTGTGGTTATTTTGAAATTAAAACAATCAGTCAAAAGTGGGAAGAGAGGGAGCAGCGGAGACCGGCCGTTATTTGCAGAGGGAGTAGTTCTTCTCCAGTCGCAGAGGCTCATAGCTCACAGGACGCGGGTGTGAGAGGTGTCCGAGGGCGATACCGGCTGCATATGCTGTAGGTGGAATTGCGGCGCGAGAGTCGAGAATTGTTTGGAAAGATGTAATAACTGCGTGTGTCAGGATGGACTTTCTGTTATGTTGGTCAAAAAGAAACGTGTATTCAAGTTTGCGTCAAATATTATGCAGCGTAATTTGGCGTAATACAACAATTCAATTCATTTTATTCTTGTACAGCCCTGAATCACAACAGTAGTTATCTGAAAACGAGTTAACAAAACCAAATTTGCAAGGAAAAAACACACAATTTTCATTTGAGAATGCAGTTATCGAGAGAGTTACGAATGGGTGTGAAAGACAAACGAGAGAGTATGGACGGAATATTTGGGAAATACTATATAAAATCCTAAAACTCATTGTGGCAGGAATTAATTTTGTTTCCGTATTTAATTGTTTTGTAAATGTGAGAACTTTGATTCGTTTTCAGAAGAGATTTCCTGTACCAGAGGCGTGAGATCTCATATACGAACATACTGTACGTGTGGGCGACAGTGGCTCAGTTGGTAGAGCATTGGCCTTTGAGGCTGAAGGTTGTGTGTTCGAGCCCCCCATGAGACCATTTCCACCGACTCCCACTGATGACTGCTGTCGTTGTGTCCTTGGGCAAGACACTTAACCCCACTTTGCCTTTGCCCCGCTGAAAGATCAAGGCTATGCCATAGAGCGGCCATCCTCCTGTGGACTCACCACCTGCAGGAGGACCAGTGAGGGGCTGCTGCTACAGTATGTGTACTGGGTGGCATATCTGGCCACCCCCCTTGACCCAGAAATGGATTAAGGGGTAGAAAATGGATGGACATACATAACACTGTAAAAGGTTAGCTTTGTTTAAGATACAAATTACTATAGTACTAAATACTTTTATCACTTTAAACTTTATACTATGATATTATTCCTCTGAACACATACTCTGGACTGTTTATGACTTTTGAATTACACCAAAGCAAATATCAAGTTTGCGACACTCAGAAAGGCCCCGTTCTGGCCATTGCTTTCTTGCTTAAATTAACAATAGCTCACATATTTTTGATAATAACGCAGCTCACATAAGCAGATTGGAAATACTTTTAAAATAATAGTTATTTTCCCAGTACTGGTTTTCACTCTTGATCCACATTTGTGTATTGTATTCTTACTTGAGTCCAGACAATACTATGCACTGTTTATGACTTACACCAAAGTAAATTGTGACTTCCTGTTATGGCAATGGCAATAAATATAATTCTGACTCTGAATCTGCTGAGAGCATGGGGTTGTCCTTCACTGTTAGTTCTGTCTATGGACGATCTGGCTGACCACACGTAGCAAGGTGGTCAGGAGCTGCTCTATCTCTCGC